AGTACTTGCGCGAGGTGTACTACTTACGCACTACCAGTCGGATGGCCTCCATTACCTGCCGGGGAACGACCACCAAACTGCTCGAGTCGGCAAAATACACTTTGGGGCGAGTTGTGTCCAGGTGGGTCACTGCGGTGTGCGGGTTCGCGCGCGGGTGGGAGGAAGGGGTTGGTGGGGGCGTGTTTAGTTGGGTTAGGTTGGCTGCGGGCGCATGTCTGAGGCAGTGAGTACTATGGCGCATACCGGACGGCCACTTGAGTTTGTGTAGCGGACTGAGGTTGGTCGAGGGTCGGCCGCCGCCGCCGCCGCCGCCCTGCTGTGGGCCCGCCGCCGCCGCCGGGAAAGTTATGTTGGCAGCAGTCTACATCAGCGCAGCTGTAGCAGTAACGCCTGTCAGAAGGGCGGCCCTTGTCATGCGGGACAGAGAAAAGGAGGACAGGGGTGCCGGAGGGGTGAGAGGGAGGGCAGCCGGCGCGCTCCTCCCCGCCCCTCTCTCCCCGCTCTCCCCGCGCGGTGAGCGCTTCCTCCCGCGCCGCTCTCCCCTCGTGACCGCGCCGCCGTGCGACATCTGTCTACAGCGGTCCTTAAGGAGCGCCGCCAATTTACATGGCCAAATAGAAAACAGAGGAGCTAATAAAAGTGTTGTGCCGCCTCCGCCTTCCTCTCTTTCTCTCTCTCTCTCCCTCCCGTCCCCCAACCGCGCGGGCGGGGCTGCTGCGGCGGGGTTGGCAACCGCTTGGCAGCGGCAGCACTGCCCGCCCACCACCCAAACGTTGGGTTCTCTAACACTAGCTAAAGGCAAAGGCCTGAGGAGGGAAAAAGTAGACTAGATCAAAAAAATAAAAAATAAATTTGTCATCACATTTATTTATCTTTAAAATAATAGTGTCGTCTTTGTTGTGAGTAGAGGTCCTTGCATAAAGTGTTCAATAATAAAAAAATCGCTATCTTGCCATTGTTTTAGATATTTTGAAAATTAGCACAGACCTACTCTAGCTGCAAATAGACCGTCCTGCCGTTTAATTTAGATAGTAAGTAACACAAAAAGTTTTCTCTCTCTCTGTGTTTTTTTTTTTTTTGTCCGGGCATGGCAATGGCCGGGTGCCCGAAACTCGGCCCGCAAAGGGTCGTTAAGCGCCACTGATGCGGGCGGGCTAAAGAACTGGGGACTTATGTTGGCTGCTGCATGTATGATACAAAATAATTATCTCTGCCTGTTTAGTTGCCGCACCTCCCCTTATAGCTGCTGGAATACACGCTAAAGATGGAAACACACGAATCATTCGTCAATTTTGAAAAGTACAAAACGATAAAAAGGGCTGACAATTAATGCAAGGCTGTCATAGGGTTCAAAATTTTGGCTCAAAATTACCTCCCGCCCACAAGAGAAGAGTGTAGGAGGAGGGTTGGGATTGCACACATGTGGGGGGAAGAGTGACTTTTCCGCGGTTGTCTCGCGACGCCTTCTAAATAATCATCACTCACAACGAACGGGGCTTCTGGTTGGATCAGCCGCGGCGGCGGAGCCTGAGAGGGGGCTTTAGGGGATGGTAGAGGAGGAGGAGGAGGAGGAGGAAGGTAAGGGAGAGGTGGAGGGCGTCGTGTACCCGTCCGTCACACATGCCGAGTCATTCGGGGGCGTCCATGTGCGCCGACCATCACTCTCACCTGCCGCTCCCCCTCCCCTCCCCCCACCCCTTTATCCGCTGGCGTCCCCGGTGGTGGTGTTACCCACCCCCCACCCCCGAC